AGTCAAAAAAAATACGTCCATAATGTTTCCGATAAACAAAGAGTAGCTGAGCATGATGGTGTCGAATCCGAGAAATAGCTGGATGCAGTCAGGTCCAAGGATAGCGTTTGCCACACTCCGCCGCCCAAAAACGTGCTCAACGTTCTGACTTGGGCCAAGGCGCCAACTCTGGATTCTCCCATATCTGCAGGCCAGCACTAGATGAGTGCGTCTTCACTTGTGCCTACAGAAATATGGCAGACAATTCTCCGTTATTCCATCTCCGTGCCGGTATTCCTCGATCCTGACGCGGTGGAAGCCATATCGCCGTGTATGATTGAGGATGCCAAAATCGAGTGGCACGACGAGAAGCCGTACTGGCAAGCTGAACATACTCGTGTCGCGCTTCAAAGAGTGTGCAAGTCGTGGAATCAATACTTGCGGCTCTACGAACATCGGCTCGTTCGGATGATCGACATTGCTCATGGCTTTGTCAGTCCTGGCAAACTCCAAAATGCCATTCGCCTTTCGCTACGGGGAGAAAACTGCAAGTGTCAAACATGTACCGAATATAGATGGCCTAGATATTCGGGAAAGTCATTCGAGGCATGGTGTTGGAACTTGCTGAACAGTTGCGAGCCCACCAACATCCGAATCCTCGATGGCACAGGTGCAACATTCGACATGCGAACCTTCCCCATGAACAGTTTCCCAGAACTCGAGACCCTCTTCGCACTGCATTGTTCGTTCGGCAAGTACATTGGGCTCATCACCAACCACCTCCCTCATCTTCGTCACTGTCTCGGCAGAGGGTACTGGGGATGCACCGAGAAGCAAACATTCAACTCGCAAACAGTCAAGACCCTCTTCATCTCGTTCCCTTTGCCTAGGATCCCGGAAGACCATTTTACCGCACAAAACTGGCGTCTTCCAGGGCTTCGCCACATTCGTATCAAGGACCCCGCCCAGGGCTCACGCACTGACGAACTCCAAGCATCCCTCTGGGCACTCCTCAAAGTTGTCGGTCAACAGCTTACCTCACTATACTTGCCATGGGCCAACTCCACCTATGAGTTGCATTCCGATATTTGGGATCTGTGTCCCAACCTCGAACATTTGTACACGGCCATGAAGCTCACTCGTCCACCCCCGTTCGAACACCCGATCCACACTCTCTGTATTGCGTCATCCCGAAACTACATGTACCTCAGAGAGCGGCCTTTCCCTGACTGGATCAACCTTCGCATCATCCGAACGGATGTGCGCTGGGACAGGTCAGAGTCACTGATTTATTCTATGGCGTGGGTGAAGACGTGTGCCGAACGCAATATACGATTGGAGGACGCTACTGGGGAATCATATGACGAGTTCATCGAGAGGACAGGGGTCAAGTTCGATGAAAGGGGGCATGTAGGTACTCATCTCTTGTGAGTTTCAATATCTGATATATTGCCATAGAAAATTCAGGACAAATCGGAGGGAGAAAAGTCTTCAACCTATTCGGAGCAAGCTGCCAACGCGGGACAGGAGGTGGCAAACGCAAACGAAGAAGTCGCTCAACCAATCGAAACCGTCTCAGTCGCACCTCCTGTTGAAGAGGTCGCCGAAAAACAAGAAGATACGAACCCCCCAGATGCTAACGCTCAACCACCCTCCTCTCCTATAGTTGAAGATCCAATTGACAATGTGGCTGATAACGAAGTCATTGCATTGGAAGACATTCCTATAGAACCAAGTGCTCCTAACGTCGTCGAATCAGAGTCTCCCTTCGTCATCCCATTACCACCGTCGCCCATACAAGACTCAGCCGCTGACTCTGCCACAAGCGGGAATGATTCTCAGCAAGCTCAAGATACTCAATCTGCTCAAGCGGTCACTCCCAAAGTTTCTGCCCAAGAAGTGGTCACAACCAACCCCGCGCACTTGTGTCATGACACCATCAGCACAACCATAGAAAACGAAGTGGAACCTCTCTCTCAGGAGGTTATTACTACCGATGTACCCACAGGTATCGAAGAAAAAGAAAAAGAATGCAGCGTTACACATACCACAGACTCATCTAATCTTCCTTTATCTTCCCCGCTCGAAACTTCAAGTTTTGTAAAGGCCGAAGCCGATAAGAGCAGTGCTCCCGGTGACACCTTACTAGTACCTCCTGAGGATGTCAAGGCTGAATGACCACCTGCTGGGAATACTTTTCCTGACCTGCCATTCATATCATGCTTCTCTATGCCTTCACCGAATCCCTGATATTTTGGTCCTGTATTACTGGTTGATTTGATCAATAGATCGTGCTATTGTACCTGGGATATCTTTGCGAAGGCCAGAGGAAGCAAAACTGAGCCTTTCCTATAAAAGGAAATTGTTCCTTGACTTCTTGACTACATCTACCTGGTATGTTGCGTTTTAGATAAATGCGTGAAGTCGTCCACAGTGGTAGACAGTTTGCGTAGCTCTGGGATAATATAGGCGCCCACCTTCATCTCACTTCTTCCCATCCACCTCGCCCCTTGACCTCCTGGACCCATAGCTTCATGAGCAATCATCTCCCCGTACCTGCAGAGATATGGCAAACCATTCTGCGATATGCTATCTCTGTACCGGTTTTTCTGGACCCATACCAAGGAGAAACCCACTCATTCCGGATGAGAGGGGTTTCAGTGGCCGAGTGGAGTAACGAGGCGGCATATTGGAGGACAGAGCGTGTTCTAAATACTCTCCAGGATGTCTGCCATCTATGGCGTCATTACCTGCAACAGTATGAACATCGTTTTGTTCGAATAGCTGATGTTGCCCATGGCATAGTCCCTCTCGTTCACCTTGGGACTGCGGCCAGAGTCTCCACAGGAAGGCACGAGTATCTAACCTGCAGGGAATGCTGCTCAAAAGACTACTTGCCAGGGAACGAGTTCGGACAAAACACCCCTTTCGAACTCCTCTGTTGGGCAATTCTAAGACGTATTGAGAGCTTTCAAGCGACAATACTCGATCTTCAAATGTACTGTTCCTATAGATCCGAACTTCCACTACATGCCTTTCATAACTTGGTAACGTTCCAAGCGATGGAAAGTCGATACAGGACTTCATATCCTCCAGATGTAATAAACTCGCTCCCGAATCTTCGCTACTGGTACGCAAATGGGCATGTAGATGGGGATTCGGATCAACCCGTCCTTTCTACCACTCTGAGAGCCATACGTCTTCGCTTTCCGTCGTCCGAACTCGCCATCCCAACGAGTTGGAATCTTCCAGCTCTACGCCATTTGGATATCAACTTAAACGATGTCAGTGGAACTCGCCGACTGCTCGATAGTTTGCCTTCCCTACTCAACACTATAGGTACAAAACTGCAGTCTCTTTACCTCCCATCACTCG